TTGGCCGAAGGAAAAGAGTGAACAGACAGAAAGCCGTCAAGGAGGCCTTCAAGCATGCTTGGAAAGGGTACAAGCAGCATGCCTGGCTGCGCGATGAACTTTCGCCCCTCAGTGCTCGCTACAGAACCACATTTGCTGGCTGGGCTGCCACTCTGGTGGATGCACTTGACACTCTCGTCATTATGGGTATGGAAGAGGATTTCAAGGATGCGTTGCATGCCATTGAGAGCATTGATTTTACTACCACCGATGCCACCCAGATCAATGTATTCGAAACTACTATCCGATATGTAGGAGGGTTACTTGGCGCCTACGACCTGACCGACGGAAAACACCCGATCCTTCTGAAGAAGGCGGTGGAACTGGCCGACATGATCTACGATGCGTTTGATACCAGCAACAGGATGCCTCAGTCTCGCTGGCAATGGAGCCGGTAAGCTGGCCATTGTTTCTGGACCACCGAAGCTGCTGTTAACTAAGTCATAGATCTGCGCAAGGCCTGAGCATTCAGCCAAGCGAACAAACCGTCCTCGCGGAATTGGGGTCCTTAAATCTAGAATTCACCAGGCTGTCTCAACTAACTCATGATCCCAAGTACTTCGATGCGGTCCAACGAATTACCGACATTCTCGACGACGCTCAGAATAAGACCAAAATCCCTGGGCTGTGGCCTGTGATGGTCAACGCTCAGGATTTAGAGTTTACAGACCCTCGCTTTACTGTGGGCGGAATGGCCGACTCAACGTATGAGTATCTGCCGAAAGAGCACCTGCTACTGGGAGCGCAGACGAATCAATTCCGCAAGATGTATGCAGCCGCCATGGAGGCGATCAAGAAGCGCTTATTGTTTCGGCCCATGACCAAAGATGGCGAGGATCTTCTCTTCGCCGGGAACGTTCACACGAGTCTCGCAACCAACTCGCCCCCGGAGCCTCAGTGGGAACATCTGAAATGCTTTTTTGGGGGCACTGTGGGTATCGGGGCCAAGGTTTTCAACCGCCCGGAGGAGCTCTCGATTGCACGAAAGCTAACAGATGGTTGTATCTGGGCATACGACATCATGCCCACTGGAATCATGCCGGAAACTATGTATCTCAGCCCTTGTCGGAGCATGGATAACTGTGAATGGGACGAGCAGAAGTGGTATCAAGATGTCCGGCGGCGACTGGCCAAGGGATTAAAAGCGAAAGACACTGTTCAAGAAGCCAAGACACTTATCAAGGAGCGTGGACTTCAACCTGGCCTAACTGAGATATCGGACCCGAGATATTTGCTGCGGTATGTGATTTGCTGACAATTGTTTTCCGTCTTACATCGGGTGCAGTAGTGCTGATCTTGTTTGTAGACCCGAGGCTATCGAGTCTGTTTTCATCATGTATCGCATCACTGGAGACAAGAAATTGCAGGACGATGCATGGAGAATGTTTCAGAGCATTGAGAAGATGACTCGGACCAAGCATGCCCATGCCGCAATAGACGACGTGCGGGACTTGAAGGCAAACCAGTTAGATTACATGGAGAGTTTCTGGTTGGCAGAGACCTTGAAGTACTTCTATCTCATCTTCTCAGAGCCAGATCTTGTCAACTTGGATGATTATGTACTGTATGTGCTGTTGTCCTGTGAGGAGTTTTCGCCAAAGCTAACGATCAAGCAGGAATACGGAAGCGCATCCACTCAAGCGTCCCTCTGCTCGTACATAGATTTCTCAATCAAACCCTTCCTTTGCATCTCAACATCGGGCCTTGTGCTTTGGCATGGTTAGGTCACGTTTTGCTCCAGGGCAATGGTCTAATCATTATATTTGCGGATTACAAGAGGGCCAACCTGGAGCATTCACTCCAGTATCCAGTTGGGCTCCTAGACTATATAGAATTCACTGGTGAATTAACATTAAAATATCATTCGGTCTTTATATATGGTACACAGTGTTGTATTATGACTCGCTCGTTACATAAGTATCCCAGTACTTTGCATCAGGATTAACACCGGAGTCTGGTCTTTTCCGCTTATACTCAACCGAGTACTGCACATCCTTTCGGATGATCATCTTCGCGGTCCCATCACTCCCCGCACTGGTCAACCCCTTCCGCTCCACCAGCTCAATAGGCGGCGATAAAGGCGCAATCGTTGACCCCGCGGTACCGATCCCCCCAGCAGCCAAACACTTCTCAAGCTCAAGGTCTCCCGCATGCCCGCTCTTCGCCGCCCGACGCTCCCACAAGAGCGATCGCCACGTCCTCCTCTCCTCACCGCCCAAGAGCCCGATCCTAGACTTGGACCCGGAGCTGTTGTCCTTGGGCGTCTGCGATGAAGACCCAAAGCTGCTCTTCAGGTTCGAGTCGCCCGCCGTGCCGTAGTTTGTGCTCACGGCCGCCATGAAGGGCCGCAGGCAGAACACGCTGCATGCGATCAGGGCGTAGTTGAGCTCCACCTGTGACCAGATCTTGGATGTGACGATTGAGAGGGTGGGGTCCGGAGAATGGTAGTGGCCTTTTAGGGTGTAGATGTGGAAGATGGTGAACATGATCAGGCTGGGTTTGTTAGAATTAGAATTTGAGTTTTTGAACTCTGTGTGCGTAAGACAGGGAGGCGTTGGGCTTAGGCTTACGGGAGTCGGAAGAGAAAGGCAGAGCCGATTTGGAGTTTGCGTTTGAGGGGCATGAAGAGGCCCTGGAGGAGGGCGACGGCCAGGGCGAAGAGGATGAGTTCGGTGACGATGTCCATTGCCGTAATGAATTCCCATCGTTGGAGCTGGATCTGTGTGAGTGAAGAGAATAGTAGGGATGTGCTTTCAGAAGGACGTGGCTCACCAGGTGGCGGCATTGGCCCCCTGATGTCTTCCAGGGGCGGTTCATTTCACAGTTGATGGCGAGGATGAGTGCGCTTGGGATGATCCATAATGTGCACAAGATGAGAGTTGCCCAAGAGATTCGGTTGTGGGTTTTCTGAGGCGTCAGTCGGAGGTAGATGCCCACGACGCAGCATTTGGAGACGTAGATGGTGACTAGGTAGAGGATATCGCTTACTGTGATCAACTGTATGCTTGTGAGGTTGAGTCTTGAGTTGTGGGACTTGTAGGCTCTCTTACTGTCTGGATCCTATTGATTTGCTCTTGCGCCAGCAGATTGATCGAGGTTCCGAATCCTTGAGAGGCAGCTACAAAGACCAGTGTGGACTGGGCGATAGCAACAGCCTGAATATGAGAGAAGTCATTAGCCAGTGATTTGACTCTGGAAAGGTTTGGCTCAAAGCTTACCGTTGCCCCAAGAAGAACGTAGTCATCATACGCAAAGGGAGGACTGAGAGCCAGTCGCACATACACCCGGATGAGAAGACAGACTAACGAAACGACCAGCCCGAAGGCGGCGGTTATAATTATCCAGGCGCCATGATGCAGGTCATCCACCACCTGGAATGGTGGTGACTGTCCTGGAGGAACATACGGGCCCATGGCAGCATGGAAGCGGAGGGAGATGCTCAGCTGGGGAAGGGAGGCAAAATTTATTCCAGAGCAAACCCCCACAGTGATGGCAGCGGTCGAGTTTTATTCCTCTGCAGCGAATTTGATTTGATGCAAGTCTGGTCAGAAGCATAGTCATTTCTATTTGATAGCCATTTATCTGAGCCAAGGGGAGTATCCATCAGGTATGTGATGTGCAGTCAAAGACGGTGTCGTGGCTGGCAGTAGCAACCTGGCACATTTCCTTTCGGGTCTCAGAACTGACTGGTGTCACAAACACCATTGATATCATGCAAACAGCAAACCCACTGACGGTTGGGTGCAGAACAAGGAAAAAGCAAAGCTCGATCCCAGTTGCGTCAACCATGAAGGTGTCGATACTGGGACAGGATCATCCATCCCAAAACTTGAGGACTCGACCAGAAGAAGGAAGGGGGGTAACCATGTGGAAAAAAATGACTCAGTTTCGAAGCAGAACTGACGCGAGGGGCGAGACATTATTTTCGACTGCCACGGGGCAATTGTGCTTAACAATGTGAAGATGACCACAGCGCTTAGACGATCTACCAAGCCTCATCTCACCGAGAGATTAAGCTCTACCGAGGGGCTTGATTGCCAGGGTGGTCGGTGGCTGCAGTCACGGTGTGCGCTTTGAAAGGAGGCCGCATGGTTTGATGAAGCCCAGTCACTCCATTACTGAGTTTGTTTCTGTGGCAGGAGTATCTACTGTTGTGATGCCGAATACTCTTGTCGTCCTTGAGTTCCGGAGCAAAAAGATGGCCCAGTGTGGACCAAGGGATCGCCATGGCCCTGTGATCACCCTTTGCGCGTTACACAAGGGCTACGTGGGGATGAGCTTTGCCTGCATCTCTTTTCTTTCCTAAGCTTCGGGTCGTACATTCCTCGCCTCTGTCATCCTGCGAATGGGATGGATCGGGCGTTAACCATTCCCCAAAAGAATGTATCTGGCACAAAGAGCGACATTGCATTTCTCGTCGAAAATCTCGTGGGTAGAGGGATGACATCTGGATTCGCTCCCCACGTCTCGTTTGGCTTCACGGTTTGTGGTGGTTCTTTTTGATCCTTGGCGTTATGCAAGGTGCTTGAGGGAAAAAGCAAAGCACGATAACAACTCAAATTGCAATCAAATTGATCGCCAGCGGGTCAGGGAAATTGCACTATTGCTACCATTGTATACCTGCTTGGACCATGTCTGGTAGGGATGTGTGATTATGCAATGTTGCACTGGCAAAGTCCCATCGATTTCTTCGCCTCTCCTCTCCTTCCCACATGGCTGGGTGTCTTTCTGCTCTCCTTGCTTTTGGCGGTGATGACCATTGGTCGATCATTCTCGGTGAATACTGTAAAGCATTCGCTTTCTTGTTTGAGGCAAACGGACGAGCGTCGCTATTTCTCTTCATCAGAAAAAGAGTGCTCTTTCCTCTGTACCTGAGCTGTATGCCGCCAACTTGACTTGCATGCTGACTTTTTAGCATCAATATCTGACTAGCTTTCAGTGCTCGCTCATCAGCGGTCCTCATGGCGCCTCAAGATACCCATCTCGGGGAAAGTAAAGCGGAATGCCGCGTACAGGATGATGTCGCTCAAGAGGCCGGGTACCCTGTGAAGGGTCTTGTTGCCCCGAAGTACATGGGCACAGTTGCAGATCAACGAGACATGAGCGCGTTAGGGCGAGTGCAGGTTTTGAGGGTTAGTTGGTGAGGTTTGCTCATTCAGGAGACTTTCTAACGAACCTCTACCAGAGAAATTTCCGCTTCATCTCAATTCTTGGATTTGGCTGCACGCTGATTTCAACGTGGGAAGTCATATTGACGTCAGTTCATCCTGCATTTCCCAGTGATCAAAGCAACTGACTCCGGACTTGAAGGCTGTTGAGCTCCGCCTTGACTGACGGGGGCACTGCAGGGTTGATATGGGGCTTTCTCATTGTCACGGCAGGATTTGCCCTCGTTTTCGCCAGTATAGCGGAAATGGCTTCCATGTGAGCGTGTCTTTTCACCTTGGATCAAGCTCTTTTTGACGGATTTTAGGGCTCCAACCTCCGGAGGTCAATACCATTGGGTGTCTGAGTTTGCTCCTCGGAAGGGCCAAAAGTTCTTGAGCTACATTACCGGTAGGCATCAAGGATCGGACGTTGCTTGGGCGAATCTGACGTCGGTAGGATGGCTCAGTGCAACCGGATGGCAGTGCGCTATCGTATCAATCGCTTTTCTCGCTGGCACGATCATACAAGGACTGGTCGTTCTAAATGACCCAACCTATGAGTTTCAACGATGGCACGGCACATTGTTGGTGGTGGCAATAACGACATTTTCAATATTGTTCAACACATTCCTAGCCAAAAACCTACCCATGGTGGAAGGACTCATCCTGATCATTCATGTGGTAGGGCTGTTCGCCATCATCATCCCGCTCTGGGTTCTTGCTCCTCGAAACAGTGCGAAAGCAGTCTTTACAGAGTTCAATAATGCTGGGGGATGGAATAGTGATGGCACTGCCACTCTGGTCGGTCTCTCAACCACTATTACAGCCATGATAGGCTATGACTGTTCGGTACACATGTGTAAGTGTCGTGTTTACTCTTCTGTCCTCAAGGAGCGTTACTGAAGCGATTCCAAGCCGAGGAAATCAAGGACGCCGCGGAGACGCTGCCGAAAGCAATGATGTCAGCCGTCGCGGTCAATGGAGTTTTGGGATTTGTCATGATTGTCACTCTTTGCTTCACGCTCGGCGATGTTGACAGCATCTTGAGTACTCCCACTGGTTTTCCGTTCATCCAGATCTTCTACAACACCACCAACAACTACGCGGCAACGAACACAATGACCGCGGTCTTGGTGATCACGCTCACGGCCAGCACAATCACTGAAGTCGCAACGGCATCCCGGCAGCTGTGGTCTTTTGCTCGAGATCAAGGACTGCCATTTTCATCATTCTTCGCCTATGTGAGTCTCACGCCACCCGGCTCTCCATGGCTCTAGCAGCGTTACTGATCGCTCCATGCAGGTCACCCCGGGATGGAACATCCCTCTCAACTCGGTCATGGTTTCACTAGCGGTCACTATTCTTCTCTCCTTGATCAACATTGGCTCCCAGGTCGCCCTGTCGGCTATTGTATCACTGACAATCACCTCCCTGATCTCTGCCTACATTCTGTCCATAGGCTGCGTGCTCCTGAAGCGTATCCGGGGCGAGCCCCTGCCACCTCGCCGATGGACCCTTGGCCGCTTCGGCATGGCCGTCAATATTGCCGCTCTGGCTTTCTTGATTCCCATCTTCGTCTTTTCCTTTTTCCCGTTAACGAAGACAGTAGACACCAAAACAATGAATTGGAGTGCGGTGATGTACCTTGCTATGCTGGCCTTTGCGTCTGTCTATTACGTGCTCTGGGGCCGGCATAACTTCATTGCTCCCGTGGCGCTCGTGAAGAGAGAGGGCAGATACTGCGCTTGAGATTTATACACAAAACCTTGGTTGTTGATTTGTATCTATATTCCTGTTTTATAGATTTTGCTTTAGTGCAATGTGCGTACATAGATGTTGTCACATTGTCACGAATCTCACGATCGAGTGGCGCGCTTGAGTTCAAGTACTTTCGTTAAGATAACAAGGCGGGTTATGTGCATTAACTGTTCGGGACGATTAGAGAAACAATGCCATCGATATGCTGCGGCATTTTAATACAATCTTTATGCCAGGAGCTGCTATTCCTAGCTAACAAAAGAATGAATATTCCATCATGGAGCACCATCACATCAGCTACAGGAGCTGAGATAGACTCCCGAGCTAGCTCTACTTGTCCCAGTCCTATCGAGGACATCTTGGAACATCAGCGGGTATCTCTGCCGTTTCACTGATCCTTTGGTTGCGCAATTCATTCCTAAGCAGAAGGCAGTTGTGGCCTATTTAAAGCAGCTGGAGAATCTCCACCCTGCTAGACTCACCAGAAGGTGACTATTACCCCTATTAAAGCGAGAGAAGCCACCGTAAGCCAGACCACTGGGTCAATGACCCAGCCGTAGGATCTGATAACTAAGTGACGAGTCTGGGGAATGTCGCTCGGATGAAATTCCTATTTGCCGATGGATTTGGCTAGTGCCTGAGGGTTATGGGCCATGGCTGATGGGCGTTTTGCGTTAGTGGCGACTGGAGAGCACTATTGATATTTACGAATTGGGTGAGGCTCTTGTTGTTTCAGGTTGTACGATTTTGGCATGAGTTCAAGGGGTTGATGGATGAGATTGTTCGGTGGGATTTCCTTTGCTTGGGCGGTCGTGGATTTCCTTGAAAGCCTCGTACAGGACACCTAGATTAGCTAGATAACATGTGGCTGTGGCAATCCTCTGACTTCGTCCTCTGTATCCGTAAGGTACTTCGCTATCTGATTGATATGATCGAGTCCGACATCGGCATGTCCCCACTTTTCGGAATTGACTGGCACATGAACAAAAATCCTTCACAGAGTACTCTGTAGTGTACGGAGTAGAGTGAATGGGCTTCAGCGAATGATCTATCTGATGCGACCGCATGATAATAATAAACTGTATCAGTAATATCAATCATCTTGATGTTTTTGGTACGAAGTGATATCCAGGTCGGTTGGCAAAGCGAATGTGTCCGAATCAGATAACCCACATACCGACCATCCGTTTTCAGCAATTCCTCCATAAATCAGGTGGACGGAGTCGAACCCGCCTCCGTGGTGGCTACGTAAAGTACAATCTGATCTTGGGCATCCAGCGATATTTTCAACTCATACAATAGGAGAGAGACAGGGTGCCACCTTAACCGAGGGCCGACGTTTCTGCACAGACTAGACAGGGCCAACGGATCAGATTAGATCGGTAACGGTAAGGGGAACCGGGTGCCGTTGGTCGTACGATTACAGTCCGATACAATCCAGAAGTAACAAGACACCGTCCGTCCTGGAGTACTCCGGATCTTTCCAGATTCTGGAGGAGCTTTTGTGATTTTATCGATGGAAGTATGATACTAGCACTGATGGCTAGATTGTTTCTGGCCAGCTGTCCATTCAGCTGCTGGCGATTAGTAGCCATCATCTGATTTGGTCGTAGGTTAATGTAGAATGATCCGCTTAGCTGCAGGAGCGGATGTTAGTACAACTGTACAAGGATACAAGGTGAACTGGTGAGATCAGATAAGGGGTAGATGATCATGTTTAAAGACATACACCTAAGGAATAGGAGATTCCATAAATAATAACAAGGAATTGCTCGATTGCGTCAGATACAGTCAGTGAGGGTGCAAAGTTACCAACCGTTACTACGTAAGAGTGAGTGGCAAAAGGTTCACGACAGGATTGGTAATCTGATCTTCTCGATTTCCCGGTCCTAACATTCTGCCCTTTGCTCTATAATTATTATTCCATCACTCTCTATCTGATCCTCCTCCTTGCATCTATATTCTTGAGGGTTCAGACATCAATCCTAAGTTCTGACATTGGAGGCCTCTGATCGAGATCCATATCTGATCCACGCGGTGTTACGCATCATTACCTAGCGCAGCGGAACCGCCATCCCGGCACCGGTTTTTTGCCCCAGGCAGGCCTTTTCGTTCCCGCCATCATCCCACCCGTTATTCATTCCTTTTTTCTCCGCGGACAGGACCTTTCCCAACGTCTCCCCATCTCGCTCGCCCTTCTCTTATTTTCCCTGTCGAATCTGCATGTTTGTGGCTTTGGCGGCGCCCTATCTGTTCTGTCCTGACTGTCTTTGCAGCTCAATTGCTGGTTTTCGTTGAAGCTTTTCTTCATCCGGTCATTACTACTTCTGAAGTCAACCAGCTGCCGTTGTGTCTCGTCTCGCCGCTCGTCTCCTTTCTTCCCCCTCCTATTCCCTCATATCCTTCTACTCTTCTGTTCCTCGACAATCAATCGCCGTATCTCCGTTTCGAGACTTCTCAGCCGACGCAATGGGTACGTCTGCACCTTTACTCACATTGAGACATTGAGTTAAGGACTGACCCTTCGTTGACTATAGTGCACGCCGTTTTACCACCAGCGCCATCTTCGACAAAGGATTCGAGGTTCAGTCACTCTAGCAATGGGGACTACCGAACCATCCCGGTCTCTTCCACCTCCCACCCAGACAACCCAGTTCCGGAAGAACCTCGCATTCGGTCACTGTCGATCACTGATACAAGCTTCAATGGCTCGTCACCCGCTCAAGAAACCGAAGGGTCGACCGACTTAGATACCCCATCGACTCCTCTCACTCCGCTAGATGAAGAGCAGCCTGAGTCGCGCGAAAGCCAAAAGACATTTGCAGAGAGCGGAAATGGGCATCAGAGACGAGCATCCACTGTCCTCATCTCACAGAACTCCGAGGACATGAGACGGGTCTTGGAGAGCGTGGGTACGGCAGGCACACAGAAGGTTCAGCCTCTCTGCTGCGGTGGTGGATGCTGTCGCAGCCAGCCTTTGACCAAGATCGGACCGGTACCTGGTGCAAACGCTGTCACTCCTCCGGACAACGAAGCATTCAGAAGACTCAATCTCAATATTGAGTACCTCACATTGGACAGTGAACTTACCAACATCGTTCCCATACCAGAGAAGACAGTGTCCTTCTCAGCGGTCCCAGCATCGGCTGTGGATCTGAAGCTGGGCCCCGCGGATTACCCGCCCACTTTCGTTCAGCCACATCCTCCGTACAATGTGTACCGGGCGCCTTTGCATCATGCCCGAGAGCTCACCAAGCCTGGGGCGGAGAAGCGGACTTTCCACTTTGACATTGACGTGACCGACTACCCTGCGGAGAGTGGAGATGTTGATTTTGTTGTGGGTGGGGCGATTGGTGTCTGCCCCAAAAATAAGCAAGAAGAGGTTGATGCTATCTTCAACCAGCTTGGTATCCCCAAGTCCATCCGTGACAAGAAGGTCACATTGCATACCACCAGGGGCCGGTGGCCTACGATTTGGGGCGATGACCAGCCTCGGGACCTGATCACCACCCGGAGAGAGCTCTTGAGCTGGTGCTCCGATATTCAGAGCTACCCACCCAACAAGCCTCTGTTCCGACTGCTCGCCGAGTACGCGACCGAACCTAATGAAAAGAAGATACTCATGTTCCTTTCTTCGGCCCAAGGCCAGGGCGCTTTCTGCGATCTCCGCACAGGATCCTACATTACCGTTTCCCAGCTACTCCATGCATTCCCCTCCTCTCAGCCGCCCCTCGACCACCTTCTATCCGTTCTGAACACTCTCATGCCACGCTTCTACTCCCTGTCTCAGGACCCCCAGATCTCATGCCAGAGGCAAGACACCAAGTGCCGGAGACTCATTGAGATCGCAGTGTCTGTGGCGGAAACCGAGGATTGGAAGGGCGGTATTCGGACCGGAGTCGGATCGGGATATCTTGAGCGGCTCGCCAGACAACTCATCGATGCGGAGCAGAAGGGCATCGATCCCCGGACCCTCGATCTCCACGTTCCCATGTTCCGTGGCCTGATGGCCAATCCTCTGGCCAAGCGGTTTGCCTCTGACGGCCCCATGCTCCTCATCGGCGCCGGTGTCGGCATCGCACCGTTCCGAGGGTTCGTCCAGCGCCGTCTGCAGTCGGCTAACTGCGCCAACAAGGTTTGGGTCTTGCAGGGTATTCGCGATTCCCTTCTGGATGAGCTATACAGCGGCGAATGGGGCGTTGAAGAGGACAAGGTGCGGACAGTAGTCCAGAGCCGTCGCGGCGAGAGCAAGTACGTCCAGGAAGAGGTTCGTCATCAGGCCGACCTCGTCTGGTTCGTGATCAATGCTCTTGACGGACGTGTTTTTGTCTGTGGTAGCGGTAAGGGCATGGGTGAAGGCGTCGAGGCGGCGTTGGTGGATGTCGCTATGGCCAAGGGTAACCTGAATCGCGAGGAAGCGGAGCACTTTTGGAAGAACAAGAAGGAAGCCGGTCAATATATTGCCGTAAGTTTGCCCTTTTTGGGAGGGAAAAGAAGACAACTTACTAACGACGCATAGGAAACCTGGTAAATCCTCGTCCGTGTACATTATTCTCCAGCTCGGCCTCTCTGCATTTTATTCCTCATGTCAGTGCATCACCAGAGTTGATCTCGGCTGGACCACGGTGGTTCGACTGACCCAAACACTCGGGCTGCATGGATCATTTCCTGTGCTGGTTTATTCAGTTGGTTAAGTACTATGTAATCTGGGGACTTTTCTATTGATTTCATCTGTTTTAGCGTGGCGGTGCATTGAACTCTTATTGTTGGACGATCATCTGTTTTCGATTTTATCATGGGTATATACGCATATCTATCATAGATTTACCTGAGACGGTAGCAATATCAAGGCAGTTGCATTTCCAGCTGTACATTACATACTCGACATTGCGATGCAGCAGAACAAAGGGACGTAGTCCAGGCCGCACGTTGAAGTAATCATAGAGTAGCTCAGTGTCTGTTAATTTAATGAAGGCAATCCTCAATTTACGGGACCAGGCTAAGTACGATCCACCGGGCCAGTCGCTGTGAGCCATATCCTCGCACCATGGTCCTGATACGCCGGGAAGAAGGCATACCAGCCTGCAATACCCGGGAGTCACTCCTGACAAGAGGCACGCCCAATGGAGACGCACCATTCCTCATCTCTCCATTTATTGAATCTATATAGTCCGAGCCGATGGATGGTCATTCTCGCTGACTGAGATTTCGACCAGTAGGATATTCGCTGGAATGCATAGGCCATGTCCGCCTGGTATGTCTCGCTCAACAGGAAGTGTAGTCCTGGGCAGAGAGAGAATTAGCTGACGGAGCCATTTGCAGCGAGCGTGAGCAGTCCTGATTTAGATGAGAATCATGCGTGTTTCATCTGAAAGAGAATGATGCTTCGCTTTACAGTCAACGTTTTGAGGTTTAAGAATCGAACCTGCGAATTGAAAGTGAGGTGGTTAGTTCGGACTCTGCTCATGAGCAGCAAGCACAAGCAATAGCAGTCTCACTGACACTCTTGTAAGATCAGACGAGAATATCCATCAGTACCTGTACCCTGTACGCCGATAAGGCCATCACTCAATCCAACAACACCCGCTCTCAAGCGAGTATCCGCCATGAACAAACCGTCAGCTGCCCTCAGAACCAAAGATCAACAAGGCGAGGGGGAACACGTGTCGTGTCCCATATTTCTACATGAGGAATCGTCAAAAGCACAAGCTGCACCTTCGCCTGGACCAGGTCTTGGAGACCATGTCGTACGACGAGCGATATGTAAGCCACCAGGCCCAACGGGCGGGCCTACAACCCAATGTGTGCGGCGCAGTCAACGCACAGATGGTGCAACCCCAAGCAAGCGTCCTACTCTGTGCCTAGGAGCGAACGCGTCGATCAGGTCTTGATCAAAGAACATAGCCCCTCTGCTTGGTCTGAAAAATAGAAAGAAAGGAAAATTACGAGATTGTATTGCACTCAGGGACGGGACAACCCGTCCTTGATAGCAGATGCGAGAGCCCGATGGGGATTTGGTGTTTGGAACTAGATACATGCTTCATTCTTGGCAGGGTCTCTGGCATTGTTGGAGGTGGCCGACTGGGAGTACAGAGTACTTTGTGCTCTGTATGGAGCAGACACTTGCGAATGCGGTGCAGGACACAGTCACACAAGTCATATCCAGCTGAAAGAGCGACGATGATTGGTCCGGAAATATTTTCCCGCAGGGCTAGCAGGTTACCCTATTTTGTACTCCCGCAGGTAAGTATTTGTCAGACTGCGCGGTGAAGCAGGGGTTAGTCCGGTATTCACGACTCAATCCAACATTTCACTAATCTATACACTATGAATGTGTACGCGTAGCCACTGGGACGATAGATGAAGTCGAGATGCCTGATTGGGAAAACAGTGGCTGGAAAGTGGCAAAAGGGTCCCCTAGTTTACCCTTGTACCCTATAAATGCCAGACGAGGACGGAGTATTCATGTCCATGACAACCCCTCAAAAGACCAGCCAGCCAAGATGTGCATAGCATAACCAGGTTACTAGGATACCTTGCAGAATGAATGGGAAACAGACGGGATCGACAAGAGAGAGAAGGCTAATGTCAGTGACGGGTGCACTTGGGCAGTTTGGTGATTATGCCCATTCCGTCTCTGACAATAAAGAAAAAATCGACCCAATTATTGGTTTTGAATCATGTCGATCCATGTCTAACCCATAATAGCATGATTGGCATCTGCTCTGCTCAGCAGCCTGAAACTGAAAGCAAAAAATGGGGAGCATAATTAGATCTTTTGGGTTTGCAGGTTGGCTCTTTGCAGTTGCCAATTTCCTTTCTGTGTCTCCTGCGATGGTACCATATTTCAAGGCGCGACCACAACGCTCAGGCTCTTCGCTTATGCAGAATGCAATGCCAACTGGCGGAAGACCAGTCAGTAGTCAGTAGTCAGTACCCAGGTACGGAAGACGCGGGCAGTCTGGTGGACCGCGGTAAGGTATGTAACCAAACATGGTAATTGGTAATTCCCCGCCTCCATGCCCAAAACGGATATTGCACCGCCTCAAAAAGTGTCAAAGTCATAACAAGACCGGTTAGCCTCAAATCTACCAGCCTAATGGAACTTTATCGGTCGACGGCGATGGCGAGGGGCTCGATGATGATGATGATATCCATCGTCGTAGACTCATGGAGTACGTCAATAGCCACGAGCATAAGATGACCCTACCCAGTGCTGAGTACTGATCACCCTTATTCAAGCGCCCGTTTGGTTGAATAATGGCGAGTCCTATACCAGAATACATCTCCTCACGTCTTGCAGGGTGGTAAACCAGGAAATCCAGACTCCTCCTCTACCCTCCTATGCAGCGGCCTCCTTCACCGCCATGTGATACATCATGATTGGATAGATCGCGAATTGTCGCTCGGCAGCTCCCCCGTGCTTCATGCATCAGTGATATGTGCGCACAGGCTTTGGCGTTAAATTAATTCATTGTATGTAGTCATTGTAATACACCCACCTGGATGACAATTAAAAAGTAAACACGGTGCCAATCATAAGTGTCACTTCCCACATTCTATGCGCCATGCAAGCAGGGGAGGGGACGGTTGACCTGCCAGTTCGTGCATGGCATGTTCCTATCGTGCTTGGACCGGGTACTCATCCAGCCACTCACGTACGAAATTGAAGAACCCTGCAATAATACGGACTGTGGCGCAGAATGGTCGAAATGCTCAGTAAGAAGTTCACATACTCAGCTTCGTATCTCGATACTTTTGATTGTTGGAATGACGTGCATGAGTGGGTGCCCCGATCATGCTGATGTTGGAGAAAGTATCCGCTTAGGTCCAAAAGAGGTATCTTCCGTTCCACAAAAGCAGTTCGACTCCTATGTGGTCGTGCCAGTATTACCGTTCCAACAGGCCGAGTCGGTACTGTGAGTGATCTATCCATGCAATATTCCAAACTTCAGGAGCAACTTCAAAGTGCCAATCTGGCGTGTCAAGATCTGCAATAGGCCGGCGCAGCAATCATGATGGGCGACATTTCTGCCTGGGCAGACTTTGGAGCGGGTCGTGTTTACTCGTTTCATGGTTTTAGCCACTTTTTCCCCGAACCATGGTTCGTCCCAAGCCTTTAGCGAAGTTGGTTCGAAAAAGATCGGTCAATCTGGGTTCCATGGCTCACTCTTTGGCGGAAGAACTAGAGCAGGCACGAGGGTTTCAAGGTAGACATGGGAACATGGATGGAATACGCCTCCGCTCGAGCCTTCCCGCTGTGTCACTGTTACCCTCCCGGCAATTGCGACTCTCGTTTTGTGTTGATCCGTATTCGAAGACCATACAAAAAGAAATCAAGGAGCTTGTTTAAAAAAAAAAAAAATTGTGCAATCTGCTTAGTATCCTGAAACGCAGAATCTTGTCTGGTATAGTGGGCGAAGAAGAGATAAAAGTGAAAGCACAGAATCAGTGCAGAGTGAAAGAGGTAGCTGGGAAGTTCTACTAACATGACATGATCACATCATCCATACTTGTACAGATCGTTCAGATGCTGAGGGTGTCGCTCAAACATTGCAACTCATCAGAAACCATATGACAACCACAATAAATGCATATCAGAAAAGGAAGACACGGAAACGCATTGGTGTAGTATAAATAAGAATTAAACAAATGACAACCCCTAAACACCTGAAATGCATATCCAAGAGTACTTGGACTCTGGTGTCGAGAATGAGTCTCATACCGGATAATTCGTCCCGACATTGACATATAATGCGTAGCCGTATAGAGGATCATCAACGCAATTAGATTATTAGAAAAGGTTCGGAGGGTATCACGATCGTACGGGGTCTAGTCTTGCTCGGCTTGCTCATCGTAATCAGGGATGTTCCAGGAAGGGAACAGGAAGACGAAAAATGATAGGGCGGCTCAGTGCTTGTTCCCACTACTGAGCCTATTCGGTGACTCGGAAGGCGTCTGTTCCATGTCGCTGAACGGTGATTGCCGCTGTGAATCAAGATCACTGGCGCCGTTTCGCATCTGATTGCGAAGCGCGGGAAGCTGTCGTCTCCGTGCATTGATAAACCAGTTGCTAATCTGCAGCGCGCAAGTCGTCAGCGAATGTGATCACTAATAAGGCTTGAAAAACTAACCTGGCTGATAGTAAGCCCGGTGCGAGTCATAAACATCTGTTTATCTTCCTCGCTCGGGTAGGGGTGATCCAGATGCTCATGGAACCAGGCCCTTAAAATATCAGTGACTGGTTTGGGAAGATTTCCTCGCCTGCGCTTGTTCTTCGAATCGACCGAGTCTCCCAAGATGCCGAAATTAGACTGCTGCGATGGCGGCAATGACTGCGAAGAGGCCTGCTCTGAATCGCTTTGATAGATGACCCCCGGATAGGATGGATACTGTGACTGAGCATGCATCGCTGCCGGCACGCTGTTTCCAGCATATGGATCTCGCCGGTCACCCATTGAGCCCGGTAAACCGGAAGGAGAGTAATTTGGTGCGCCAACGGCACCCCCTCGAAATTCCTGAACCGCAAATGCATCCGTCCGGGAAGGTCCCCGGTGATCTGGTAATCCGGCGGCTGGCGCATTCAGAGAGCGATCTGGGATGGTTTGAAGGTCTCGGATGGATGGCAAAATAGGACTTGGGCCACGAGCGGCGGCTGGCTGTACTCCGTTCCCTGGTAACCGTGTCTGAACAGGCGCCCGTTCCCCAGGCATTCTGTCGGACATGGGATAGTCGCGAACGTCCCCTACTGGCAACTTGGAAGGAGATCCGTAGGGTGTCCGGCCTGAGAGGGGCCTGGATCCAGATCCAAACTCATGGTTTAATGAAACAGGACGCTCGTGCGATGATGGTTGTTGGGATGACAGGTATGAGCCGGACTCGATTTCGTCATGCAGATGAGGCGGGAGAAGCTACAGACTGTCAGCTGCCCATGGTTCTATTCGGGAAACACGTCTTGCAAAATCTACGCTTTCCTTACCTCTCGAAACGAGGGCAGAGACTGGGTGTGATCGGCGGAAAGTCCACTTGCATACGAAATGGCCATTTTTCCACTCTTGTCATCCACTTCACCGTGCTGGGACATAAGACAGTCAAGACTGAGGAGTCGATCTGGGTAGCGATCACTCGTCCTAAGGATCAGAAGGAGGGGATTAGAGCAACTGCAGATCGGAATGTACAGTCAGATGATTTAGAGGCACAGCCGGCCCGCGGCATCGACTCAGAGCCAGGTATTGGGCTCCTCGGGCGACGATGATTGCTTGACGTAGTTTCAAGATGCAAGAACAGGAGTGGAGGTGTGCCTGTCCAGTTTCCTTGGTGTAGTTATATGAATGGTCAAGGGAAAGGAAAGTAAGAGGAGGAATATGAAGAGGTAAAGGATTGGCGAAGAAAGGCCGGTAGAAGAAGAAGGGTTGTGGAAAAAGCAAAAGGCTGAACGATGGGGATGTAATCTGATGATGCTGATGAATGATAAAGGGAGGGGATTGGGCGACAATTATGAGTATTATATTTGAGAAATAAAAATAAAAAGTGAAATAAATTAAAAATTAAAAATTAAAAAAATTAAAATTAAAAGAACGCAAATAAAAAATAAAATAGTCGAAAATATTGGTATCTTGACATTGCCGCTCACGATGACGATGGAGACAGCTGAACCAAGGTTATGCAAGGTAAAGAGTATGAGGCAGCTTAACAATTGGATCGGGGCTGGACAAGATCTGGTCGTTGGGGTTCAGACCTTCATTTCCCTCCTTCCCTTTTTTTCCCCTGCTTCTTGGTGGCCCAATTAGAGGAATAGGAAAATATGTAAAAGTAGTGTCAGATTCTCAGTCTAATACACATACTTGCCTAGATACTCGGATGGGACTCGGGATCAACAAATGTCAAATACGCAAAGCAACCGCAATGAGAATTGTGTGACACCACTGGGAATTTTGTACGGCCACCTTAGTCATGTAAACATCTTTAGAATTGCTTAAGATTCTTGGAGACGTGAATCCATAAATCGCAGGATCCGTCAGCTTGTTCCATACGGAGTATGGAACAAGCGAATCCATGGGAGCAGTCAAGAAGTCAAGAACAGGGGGGTTGGAAGAGAGGCAGATCCAAGAGAATCGATGATCGTGGGTGGAAGTGGATACAGTAGCCACAAACTACAGACGACCGTCAGTTCCTTCGTCGGGAACCAAAATAATGGCATCCATGATTAATCGGGTTTAAAATACGTACTAGGCTAAAAGGCTTAGACTAGAAGGGGAGACTGGCTGAAGGAGGGGAAGGGGGTAAGGTAAGAGAGTCTGCCAGACTGGAGTTTAGTATTTTACAATTCGGAACAGTTGGAGTCTTGGGCGGGAGGCTTGGAAACTTCCGCAACAGGGGAAGGTATCAGTACGTACTGGCAGAAAAAGAAATAAAAGTGCGATGCCGAAAACGAAGCCGAAAACGAATTTTCAATTTGAGAATAATTCCTTAAGCCCTATCGAATATCCCAAGTGGTTGACAGATGGAGCCAAGGGTCTGGAGCTGCCCTTGATTGGTAGTATCTAGTAGATTGATGTCCCAGTCGAATTGCAGCGCCAAATGTCGACGATCTAAAAGGTCACGCTGCAGAGACAACGGCCCTTCAGGCCTTCACACATTGCAAGGAGGCTACTGACGACGATCTGTGTGTCAGAGGTGGTTTTCCACATCCTCGTTGGCATAGTGGTTATCTCCACTGAAAGGGATCGAACCAGGAGCACAAACCTGGTTTAAGATCCATAGGCTTACCAATGTACCAAAATAGAGGTATGACCATCCTATGCACAGCAGGTATGGACGGTGGAGCCGGCGAATCCACAAATCTCAATCATGAACCGATAGATTTTCCTAGTCTTGTCAGGTTGTCGGCATGTCTTTCTGTCAGAAAAAAATGGAGACATCCCCAATCCTGAGCTCAAACTTGGTCAGGTTGATCAGAGAGCCTGAAATCCCCTCGTGCCCAATGATTTATTACTAGTATCCTTCCAGAAACCAACTAAAAGGCTCTAGTGTTCTTCTAACTTTTTTAGCCGCTTTTACGAATATTGCTAGTGGCAGGGTGTCGTTCCTGATGTCTGAACACCCTGTCATCTATGAACTTCTTGCCCCATAGTCCGGGATCACCAGGCACCGGACTCAGGACTTGGAGGCCCGAGAATGATGCCGCTCAAGCCTTTGCCTCCCGAGTTGTTGTTAACTTGTCATTATCGCCCCTAGCAATATCGTCATGCAGTGATTTGATAGCAATACATGGTGAGCATGAACTAAAGAGGGGGAACTACTGCATTCCAGAAGGATTCTGAGCCAAATATCCAATAAAACGTGGTAGCTTATCTGTGATCTGAATCAGATAGAAGGTTAGTTGGACGGTGGCTGACATTGTTTCAAACTTTCATTAATAAGAATGCAAATAATGCAAGCCCACCTAGATTCATGTCCAGGGCAATTGTCCACAAGTACAACCGAGGCTGCAACTGGAAATAAGGGACTCACAAATGGTGGAATCTACCGGAAAAACGAAAAGTGATCGCCAGGTGTCCCTCGCTGAGTTGGACCCACTTGGGTAATTGTGTCAGAGAGACGCGGAGCCTGGATGAGTAAGAGTGAGAGACAACAGCTGCAGATCAGAATGGTAGAGATAAGTAGGCAGTCAAGGTAAGATAACAGTAAGATAGTGTAGAGCATAAATTGTGGACAGAAGCCGTGTCACCTGAGATGAACATAAAATAATAGATGACAGCAATGATTTAATCCAGAAATAGAGTGAAGATTTATCATGATTGCAGCTGGAGAACACTAATAGTATGAGATCCATTGTACGGGACTACCCCTCTAGAAATCCACTTTCTCCAATCATCCAATTTACCGGGCCCCGCTGCAAGTGGCAGTAACTGGCATGAACCAACCGATCGATGGCTCAGAGCGTCGCAGCGAGATCGATCGAACAGTGTGGCAAAAGAACAGATGAAGATGGGCTGCGAGGGCTGAACTGGGGATGACTGGGCGAATGGGTGACAGTCGGAACCCTAGCTTGTTTGACATCGGCAGAGCCTACTGTCAGATGAGACTAGACCGAATCCGGGCATTCCATTTCCCAACTTCCTGGACAAGGAAGGGCTGATCGCCCGAGGTGTTCCTTTGTACGAGCCCCACCCCTACACTGCAATATGTGGGTGTACCAGGATTCACATCATCCAGTCTCGTCCATCACTGTACATTATTAGTTACATGCAGTCCACTGCACATCATTCACATCCCAGTCATCTAATTGCTAGATAGGGCTGCTTCTCATGACTCTGATGACAGAGATAAGATGAAGTCAGAGGATCATTGGGGGTAAGAAAGGTCCTTGCATACAATTTGAATTATCACACTGCTGCCTAGCAACTGAGTTCTAATAATTGACTGCACAAGAAAGGGCCAGGTCAAGGAATAATAGTTATTCTATTAGCAGTGTGCTGCTTGGGTCATTGACTAAATAGTAGCCTCGCATAACGCCAATAAAGAGTCAAGGAGACTGATTGGTATGACAACCCATACTATGTGTACTGTAGTAACTGCACGCGCAGGGAAAACAGGAGGTAATATGCAAGATCCAATGCCCCGTGCATATGACATCTCAGCTATCGGCTGGGGGTGGGTAGCAAAACTGACATGCAGCCATACCATCAGACATGGAACCATGACTAGTGGTTTGGGTTGTGCTCTTCCATATCATCAGGAATCGAAATTGTATGGAATATTTACTCCGCACTCTATACTTGTAACTACTTCTGCAGCCTGTACAAACGAATGATATGACGTGCGCAATAGGCCATTGTTGGCCGCAACTAATTGGACTCAAGGCAGAGTTCCATAGTTCCGGAACCAAAATACAGACGATTTGGCTTTCCTTCGTTTGGGTTTCTGGGATATCTTGAAAATGGATCCGCATCGCGCCAAGGTTGCGCCAAGATCGTGATGTTCCAATTTGGAGAGCCACATGGGGAGGATAAATACAACCATGGAATCAACCAAGGTAGTACCATGAACTGCTTCGATTCGGGGTTTCACCTGTGGAGTGCTTACACATTGCACAGCTGCGGATAGTCCCAGGTGACAACAAAGCTGAGCAGACTCGATAGGCTGGAGTCGCAGACTTCCATTGAGCTGGAGCTGTGGGCTGATCGGAAGATTTAATTTTCAAAAATTTCCAAAAAAAGCCACATTGTTCTTCAATGATTCTAAGCCATTGCGGTTCCAATGCATACGTAGAGTTTAATAATAATGACAACATTGGTGGGGAGTTGTCACCCACGGCCACGAGACATGACTTCGAAGGATCTTCTCGCTAGTCTTTAACCTAGTCATGAGTTCATGACTGTCCCAATTCTCGCAGATCACAATGAGGTTCCCTAGTCATGAGTAATAGATACTTAGACTTTACTTGCCCATCCATGTTCTACAGCAGATGTGAGAGTAGAGGTAAGGGTTGCTGTGGTATGCAGAACAGTGCAGGAAGCCTCAAATCCCGGATCTATCTCTAGAGTCTGAACCCATCCCATAGCTTCATAGATAGGGGTGCTTTTCCTGGGAATGGCAGGTCCGTGGGGCAAGTCCCAGCCCTGCGTACCTGAATAATCTATCGCACCAATGAATTAATCCATGACTGAAATAATAAGCTGTTAGGCAAGCAGTCACCATAACAGTCCGGTGTTCACCGACATTGCTAAGTGAACTTGGCTAGGGGGAACAGGGAAGTCCATGGTCAACTCAGAGAGAACAGGTCAAACTTTTTGGCTTAAACAATATAATGATGTCAGGTGATACCTGAAAAGAGCATTGTTCAGTTACTAAGAATGGTAATAACACCGCGCTGAAATATGGATGAAGCCTTAGTAGTTTGGTACAGCCAAAGAAATTGGAGGTGGCGCCGTGGCGGACAACCTCTTGTTGGATAAAGTTCAACCTGCAAACCCTCAGCAGCGGCCTCAGCCCCACTGATGGTCGGCTCGCTTCTAGAGAGGCGTGGAAGTACAGAGTACTCAATATTATTCAATATTTAGCGCAAGCTCAGATGAGCAA